CCCAAGGCTAGCAGCATCAGTGGTGTTCATGACTTTGCGCTGCTCCATGCCACCATGCTGCCAGTCTCATGTCAACATCACATCCACGCTTCCCCACGGCCTGCGCACCCCCAAAAAGGCATGCAGGAGTACATTGAGGCAATCACCTTCATGGCATACATCAAGGATGGGTCGCTGCCATCACCAGAGGACACACACACACACACACACACACACACACACACACACACACCACACACACACACACACCCCACCCGCACCCACCCACACACACACACACACACACACACAAATCACCTGGTCATCTTGTGGATCAAAGACCGCTGTGTAAACTTGAACAAGGACGTGAGCCTCCGGCACAGGTGGCCACAAGTTGTCTGCCACGACTGCCTTACCACCCTCGTCCACAACAACAACCTTCATCGCTCAGTCGGCCAGCGCAGTGCAAGTCGTGAAGATTGGCCATGTCGCTCATAGCTTTCGGCATCCGCTCAACAACCAACCAACCAACCAACCAACCCTCTCTGCCCTTCGACCACACATGAACGTGAAGAGGTCCAGTCTGTCGCGTGTGCAGCGAGCGGCTGCATTACTGGTTGTGGCCACACTGGTGCTAGGAATACTGCTGTGGTCATCCCTCACTTCAGTACCCACTGCTAGGAAGGGCAATGGCGTCGCCGAGACTTCGCGACTGTCACGGGACATGGTGGTGCAAAGACTGTGGTTGAACTTTGGCGCTGCATATCACAACGCCACAGCTGTGGCTGCACAAGGTAGCAGCGACTCCAGCCACAACGGGTTCATTGTGGTGGAACACGCAAGCCAGCATGTGCCTGAGGATGTGGTGCGCGCAGCTTCTCGACGATGGAAGGCGTTCATGCGGCTCGCGCCAACGTTTGAGCAGCACACCCAGGCGTTTACTCGCGACCGCGCGATCGTCATCAGTGGTGGCGGGTACCAGCTCGAGTTCGTGTTCGCCAGCGTCCGCCTGCTTCGCCTATACGGGTGCACCCTCCCGATTGAGTTGTGGGTGAGCAGTGTTCGCGGTGAAGTGCCCTCCGTTACCCAGCGCCGTGCACTGGAACAAATTGGGGTGGAGGTGATGGATTTGGACGCATACGCCGGCGTGTTTCCAGAGTTGGCGGAGCAGATGCACCCTTCAAAGCCGAGCACCAAGCCATACATTCTCAAGCAGCTAGCGCTTGTCTCCTCAAACTGCCGCCAGTGTTTGCTGCTCGACGCTGACAACGCAGCTGTGCGCGACCCAACCTACCTCTTTTCCGACGAGAACTTTGTGCGCACGGGCCATCTTCTCTGGCCAGACTTTTGGCACATGCGCACTGGCCCGGCGTCCATCCGCGCCATATTTGGGCTGAACGACGACTGGGCCAGCACGAGCCCATGGGACGTCAGGACGGTGGAATCAGGGCAGATGGTCGTCGACAAGGCCCGTGCTTGGCGCACACTCATGCTGTCCGTTTACATGCAGCTGCAAACCGAGTTCTTCGACAACCAAGTGCGTGAACTGAGGTGTGGAGGGGCAGGAGGTGTGTGTGTGCGTGTATGTTTGCGTTGTGTATGTGGGTGTTCATGCTCGACTGTGCGTGTGGGTGTTCATGCTCGACTGTGCGTGTGTGTGTGTGTGTGTTTGCAATGCGAACTTTGAGTCACGCGCTCACACTCCCAGTTGTACGCTTTGGTCCATCGTGCCATGCCATGAATGTGTAGATGAGAGCTCTACATCATTTAGGTGGCGGCGGTGACAAGCAAACGTTTCTGATTGGATGCCTTGCCACCAACTCATCGTGTCACATTATTGACCACCCAGTCGCTTCGGCTGCACGAATTATTGATGGCACTTTCTGCGGCCGCGCCATGGTGCAGGTGTGTGTGTGTGTGTGTGTGTGTGTGTGTGTGTGTGTGTGTGTGTGTGTGTGTGTGTGTGTGTGCTTCTGTCTCTTGGCTTCGAGCTGTTAGTTGCCCTGTCTCTGTTTACCTTTGCGCCCTGTTGCGTCTCCAGTCATCACCTGTTTTATTGCTGGTCTCTGCCGTGACTCACTTCGGTTCCTTGTGCTGCTGTCGCCAACATCAACATGGGTAGCATGATAGTTCTGGCCAGATTCTGTTTGTACACGCCAATTTGGATAAGAAGAAGTTCCTTGCACGGGTTGCTTCAGAAGATGGGTGGAGAGACTGGCGACATGAGTTCGGAGGGTGGCTCCATGCACTCGCTCACTCACCCTCACACCCACACACACACACACACTCACACACACAATCCACACACACACACACACACACACACACACTCTCTCTCTCTCTCTCTCTCTCTCTGTCTCTCTCTCTCTCTCTCTCTCTCTGTCTCTCTCTCTCTGTCTCTCTCTCTCTCTCTCTCTCTCTCTCTCTCTCTCTCTGTCTCTCTCTCTCTGTCTCTCTCTCTCTCTCTCTCTCTCTCTCTCTCTCTCTCTCTCTCTCTCTCTCTCTCTCTCTCTCTCTCTCTCTCTCTCTCTCTCTCTCTCTCTCTCTC